TTTTTTTTTTTTTATCTCTGCTTCTTCTGATTGGTTGTTTCCCACTGTTTACTTTTAATTAGATTCAGGCTGTGCACTTTATATAGAATGCCAGAGAATGGTAGCTAATCCAAGGATACCTGATGTTGGATTTTCTTGGTATTAGTGCTGTTAGCTTTGATCAGTTGGTTAAAGTGGTATCTATCTGCCTTACTTCCACATGGTGAGAGTTCCTTTCCCCTTGTAATTAAAGAGTAGTCTGTAGGTTGACACTATGAAACTAGTTAACTATGCTATTTCTCAATCAAACTTTACTCCAGTAGTTTCAGCATTATTAACTTTTTGCCTAAATCAATTACTACTATGCACTGTAGAATTAGACACCACATTGTTTAAAAACATTAACTCTTGTAAAAACTTACCTTTTTTTAAAGGGTTTACAGCCATCTATGAAAGCATAGGCTCCCTCAGGCAAGTTCTGGAAGCCAAGATGAAGTTGGACAAGGACCAGCTACAGAAGCAAATCCAACAAATGCAGAAACCAGAAACTCCCATGTGAAGGGAGTTGGGACAAGGACCTTAAAGGTGGTTTTCCAGTGTGGCTAGAAGCTAGAGACTTCTGTAGCCACGCTGTTGCTGCATTGGGGACTGTCCTAATCCATGGCGTGCATGTGCTGAAAATATATTTTCATGGGTCTAAATGTTTACCTTGAGTCTTGAAACCCCCCTTTCTGTAAAAGTGTTAAGTACAATTTTTACCACTTTATGTCACCTCTCTAAATTAAATGGAATAGCCTCTCTTCTCCCTGGATTTTGAAAGGCTTTTATTCCTTTCATTTTATGAATGAAAACACTTAACAATCCCCCTTCAGTGCTTCATGCTTTAGCCAAGACTTTACTATTTTTTTGAAATGTCATGGTGATTTTTTAAATTAAGATATAATGAATTGTCATAGGAATGTATTGCTCATTACCCTAAATTCAGAGAATGTCCTGATAGATTAGAATTCAACCTTTAGAGTCCATATTTGGGTTATTATTGTTGTCTGTGCATTTCTTATTTTGGTTATCTTCCTATAACTCTTCTGTCTTTTGTAGGGGGAGAGATTTAACAGTTGGGGAAACACCCCGCTATTTGCTTAATGGAAATAATTTAAAAATTTATAATGGCCATAGAGATTACAAATTAAAATGGAAAACTTCAGAAAATTATCTAGCTAAAGCAAGGCACAATGTCTGCATAAACCACCTAGATATACGAGGTTTTAATATTTAAAACTTTTTTCAATTATCCTCAGCCTGTATAGTGATAGCCATATATTTAATAATGGAATGGTGGTTAATAGCTTATTTATTACACAATGAATTATTCATTAATCATAATCAAATGTGAGAATTTTTCAGGCTTTATGATCTCTTCTCTAGATGTTTCCAAAATTGGTACAAAGTGCTAGGGTTTATATATAATTATTGTTACTGTATTCTTGTGCCTTGATTTTATCACGTCAATGCATTGTACCCTATAAAAGTTTTGCAGACAAAATAGATGGCATGATAATGCATTGGAATTATGATGTAAAAATGGGATCCTATGTATTTTTTAAATGTTCTAAAAATTTTATCACTGTTAAGATGTTAATCATTCAGTATTATTAATGGAATAGAAATTCATACTTTTGTATGGACAGAGAATCAAATTTCTAACACTGTCAAGAAACTTTCATCTTGAGCAACTTTGTAGATGACGGCTGTTTTATTTTGAATCACCATCTTTGATGAGTCATTGAGAATTGGCACCAGTGCTGTCTGTTCACTTATGTATGTTAAAACTGGTAGTGAGATACACACCGTTCTAAACTGTGAGGGTTCCCCAGGAAAAAAATAAATAGGAATACTTTAAAATTAAAAATTATTTTTTTTTGTTTGCCAAGGACTCAGGAAAATTAAAGCATTTTCTATTTTTAGGATGAATCATAAATGAAATATCTAACTGGCTATTACTGTTTACCCATATAAAATATGCTGCTAAAGTACATAATATTTTACCCTCAATGGCTTGACAAAAGAAGTTTTTTTTTTAATTTGGACCTGAGATGGTATATAAGGAATATGTTATCCAACACATATCTCCTTATTTTGTCATGCGTCTTTTCAACTTTATATAGGAGGACTATTTCCACTTACAGAAAAAAAAGCATTAATGCTCTTCTGTCATCCAAAAGTGATTTTCTTTTTTAGATAGAGAACCATGTTTAGTACAGTTCTCCAAGTCGAAGCACAGGCCATACAGAGAGCCACAGCCCTTACAAGTAGCTCTCTCAAGGGTCTCTGAGGAGGAAGTCAGCACATGAAGACACCTGGGATGATGGGGACAGAGGATACCAGCTGGACTCTTGGACTCTGGCCAAGGGGATGATGTGAACAGGTGATGCTCAACTGTCCACTGAGTGCTCAGGTACTTCTGCTGCCACCAGTCCCACACCATGAACTCAGCATGAGTTCACCCTGCCTCCATGCTGGAATCACCTGAGATGTTCAAAGAGCTACTGCTGCCCAAGCGGCCCCAGACCCATTAAGTCAGAACTGCCGGGAGGAGGGATGCAGGCATCAGTATGTATCACAGGCCCCCGGTGATTCGTGTACCACCGAGGTTGGGAGCCTCGACCTATAGCTACTCTTATCACCAAAGTTTAATGAGAATCAGCTTCTGTGTTCTTTCCTTTACCTGAAATTTGCAATAAAAATAATAAAATTTCCAAATGATTATGGCATGTAGTTTGACATTTAAGTCTTTAGTGTAAGGTTAAAATTAATTAATTGAAATACCATAGGAACTGCTCTTCTTACCTGTCTGCGGTATCCTCTGAAAGGTTGATATAAAGTGATGGAAGGTCTGGAAGATCCTCTTGGCAACCACAAAGTCCTTGGGAGTTGTGCCATCTGTGTGCCTGTGGCACAGTGCAAACTGGCCTTTCCCAATGTGTGTTCTGGACCTGTGCTGTCATTTTGCCATGTGTTAATCTATTTCACTTCAACTACAAGTTAAATAGAGCTGGTCTTTGAATAACTCCCTTGCATTCAATATCATTTTGTTGAGGAAAAAAAAAATAGACCCAGTCAACATGAAATGTTGAGTATCTACTTTTATTACATGTTGTTTCTCTTTCCAAGTTTCCAAGAAACTTGGTAATGTTAAGTGAGGATTCACTTTATAAATGAGAAAATAGAGTCACCTAAAGGTTAAACAATTGGCCCCAATCCTGCAACTAGTAAGTAGTAACCACCATTCAAATCAATCAGCCTAATTTCACAGTTGGGGCACCTGCCCAGTACTCCACCCTACCTGTGAAGAGGTATCCCCCCTTTGCACATAAATAACTTGCCAGATGATCAACTTCTGCTCCATCTCTGCTTGAGATGGAGTTCAAGTCTTATTTTTAATGCCCCAATCCAAATTCCAAAGAAAAGCAACCTTATTAACTTATACAAGATATCTTCCTCTGGTTGTATCAGTGGCAGCAAGGATCAGCTGATATGGCAGGACTATTGGTTCGAGGCATTTTATCTGCTATGCTTGTGCTGATAAACGGATTAGGTTGTGGACTGTTGGGAGAAGGGTGTACTGGATTAGTACAGAGCAGAACAGATAAGATGGTTCCCTGTAATTTGTAAGATGGCTCCTACTAGGCATTCAGCCTGAAAAAAAAAAACCCACAAATCATTCATTCTGCTGGGGTCATGTATGGAAAGTGACTCTGCCCTCTAAAGAAAGTTATAGCTCAGTCTGTGACATCAACACAGTAGAGCCTAGATGAAGAGAAAAGCAAAGCAAACAAGATCAGAATGGGGGCAATCCCTGAATGTGGGGAAGGCTAGCAGACTCAGGCTAGTTACTATCATGCACCTTGACCAGCCACATCCACCTGAGGGGACAGTTTCGGGATCAGAGCTGGGGGAAGTACAAACTTTATTTCAGGAGGGGAACATGTTGACATGGAGGCTGAGGGTACAGAGTCCAGGGTTCAAGCTGGGAAATGAAATCCAACGTGGGTGGGCTGGTGTTCAAGGGGTCAGCTCACATTTAAAGCTTGATTGTACAGACTGGAAGAGCTGGTGTGTGCCTGGGCTAACTGACAGAAGATGTGCTTTGTAAGTGGATAATCGGATCCATAGGAAGGAAAAATATGAAGGTGAATTCAGAAACCTAGTCAACAGTGACATTCACTACATGGAACTATACTTAGCTTTGCTTTTTGTATAGATTCCTGTGCTGAAGGCCTACCTGACTATTAGAGTCAAGGTTCTAGTTATGGTGGGCATTCCCCAAAATGTCCTCCAATGGGCCTCATCTCCTGGCATTCACACCCTGGTGTAATGCTCTGCCTGTAGCATGGGCTGGGCTTATTGATACACTTCTCAAAACAAGCATAAGTATGGCTCATCATTTCTGATAGTAGTTATACAAGGATTGTTTATTCCCTTCACCCTCCCTTCTCTTGTACTGGAGGAGGCAAGCTGCCATATTGTTAGTAGCCTTATGGAGAGGACCATATAGTGTGGCAAGGAGTTAAGGCCTTCCACTCCATACCCTGAAATGAAATGACATTTCGCAACAATCATGTAAGTGAATTTAGACGTGAACCCCTTATCCAAGAGAAATGAAGGCTGAGACTCGAACAGTTTCATACCTACACTCATAGCAGCATTATTCATAATATCCATCACACCTACACTTATAGCAGCATTATTCATAATAGCCGAAAGGTGGAAGCAACCCATAAGGCTGCTAACAATATGGCAGCTTGCCTCCTCTGGTACAGGTGAAGGGAGGGTGAAGGGAATAAACAATCCATGTATAAACTAATCTCAGAAATGATGAGCCATACTTATGCTTATATGTGAGAAGTGTATTAGTAACCCAGCCCATGCTACAGGGAGAGCATTACGCCTGGGGGTGAATACCAGGAGATGAGGCCCATTTTGGGGAATGACCACCATAACCAGAACCTTGACTCTCATAGTTAGGTAAGCCTTCAGCACAGGAATCCATATAAAAGGCAAGTGTCCAGTGATGGGCCAATGGATAAGAAAGATGTGGCATGGGCCTTCAGTGATGTATGATTCAACCTTAAAAAGGAAGAAAATTTGGGCCCTCTGTGGTGGCGCAGCGGGTTAAAGCACAGCACTGAGAAGCTAAAGCCACTTCTGCATGAGTTCGATTCCCGCCTGCCCCGGAGGTGACCACATGGTGTGGCAGACCTCTCCTGACCCGCCCACTGCTCCCCTTAGCAGTGTTCTTTGTCAATCTGCCTGTTCTGCTCCCCACTCTGTCTATGGTGAAGCCTCTCGCTCCTGAGCCTCTGGCCTGTACCCCAGTTCTGTATGCACAAATAAATAAATCTTTAAAAAAAAAAAGGAAGAAAATTTGTGCTTCATCATGGATGAATCTTGAGGACATTATGATAAGTGAAATAAACCAGTTACAGAAAGACAAAGAGCATACAATTCCACTTACTGGAGATACAGAGTAGCCACATTCATAGAGAAACCTGAGGCTGATTGCCATGGGCTGGGGTGAAGGTGAGTGGGAATTTTTTTTTTTTTAAAGATTTATTTATTTGTGCATACAGAACTGGGGTACAGGCCAGAGGCTCAGGGGCGGTGAGAGGCTTCACCAGAGACAAAGTGGGGAACAGAACAGGCAGATCAACGAAGTACACTGCTGAGGGGAGCAGCGGGCGGGTCAGGAAAGGTCTGCCACGCCATGTGGTCTCCTCTGGGGCAGGCGGGAATCGAACTCATGCAGAAGTGGCTTTAGATTCTCAGTGCTGTGCTTTAACCCGCTGCGCCACCAGGGAGGGCCGGTGAGTGGGAATTTTTAATGGATATAGTTTCAGTTTTGTGAAATGAATTTGGAGATGATTGTACAACAATGGGAATGTACTCAAGACTACTGAGAACAGAAATGGTTAAGATGGGAGATTTTATGTATATCTCACCACAGGAAAAAAGAAGTGAATTCCCCAAAAACCTTCAGCCTCACCTGTGGATGAGATATACCCTCAGCAGCTTTGTAGCAACCTCATGATAGACACGGAGCCAGAGATGCCCAGGTAAGATGTGTCCACATATCTGAGTCGGGGAAATGAGATGATGAATAGTTGTTGCTATCAGTGTCTATATTTCGGTGTTATTTGGTATATAAAGCAATAGATAACTAACACACTGGAACTAAAATGTTGACAGAATTGTGATAATGCTTATTTCCATGTGACCCACAAATTAACCTGTTCACATATAACCCCACTTAATAGATGTTCTGAGCAGGAAAGGACCTTAAAAACTTGCACTGAGTGGCATATATACATTATCACACTTATCATTTGTAGTAACTTGGTTTAGTATGTACTATTATTTCCATTTCATGGGTGGAGTAAGAGAAGTTAAATAATTATGGAAGGCCATATAACTAGTTGATGAAGAAGCAAGGGTTTGAACCTAGATTTGTCTCCAAAATGTAGGCTGCCTTTTGCTTTAAGGTGAGAAAACCAGCGCCTAAGACATAAGGTTATTTTTCCAAAATCCCACAGCTGTTTAGAATTAGACACTTCTGGATCACTGGTTCTCAAAGTGTTCCCAGAGCAGCGGCCTCAGCAGCTCCTGAGAGTCTGTTAGTGATATAAACTCTCAGTCCCACCTAAGACCTGCTGAATCAGACCCTGAGCATGGTGCCCAGCGCCCTACTTTAACAAGTCCTGCAGATGATGCTAATGCAAGTAAAAATAGAAAATCTCTGATCCAGAGCTGTGCTAGTTAATACAACCACCGTAGCTGTGCATGACCATTTAAATTTTAATGTAAGTTAAGCAGAATTGAAGAAATTGAAAAATCCAGTCCCTCAGTTTCGTCAGCCACACTTCAAGTGCTCCAGAGCTTCATGTGATTAGTGGCTACTCTTTGTCTTGTGCAAAGTTAGAACACTTGTCTTATCACAGAAAATTCTGCAGGATAGTCCTGGTCTAGAGCAATTGTTTCTGCACCCTTTTAAATGATAACTCTATAAATAACTTCGCCTACCAGCCTAGAATGAGCTTAGGCCTAGAATTTTACTCCAGCCTACCATGCTATGTCTGTTTGTCCCTACTACAGATGATTTTCTGGGCCTGTCTTCATAAGATTTTATCTCATCTGTCAGTTCTGGTCCGCAGCTATTGCTGGTTGGAGTACTATATTGAAAAACACTAGGAGGCTGGTGCCATACTCAAGGGAAGAGGCAGGGAACATCAGTCAGCCAGTGAGGAGGGCAGGGGCTGCTGCCTGTGTGTGCATATCTGCTAGGTTTGGACCAGCAAACATTAAAAATTAATGCAAAAGTTTCATGATGAACAAAATATTGAAACTTAAAAAGGACCAGACATTGAAACTTAAAAAGGACCAGGCTGTGTGGAGCTATTTTGTAACTGAGACTAAAAAGGAGTGGGGGGGAAAGTGTGCCCCAGAAGAGCTAAAAAGACATTTCTTTGAAGAGGAAATGCAGATGGCTAACAAGCATATGAAAAATGTTCACCATCACTTATAATACGGGAGATGCAAATTAAAAACCACAATGAGATACCACCTCATACCAGTGAGAATGGCACATATTAAAATAACCAGCAACAACAAATGTTGGTGAGGATGTGGAGAAAATGGAACTCTCCTACGCTGCTGGTGGGAATGCAAACTAGTACAACCACTATGGAAAGCTGTTTG